CTTTTAGCGAAGTTTAGTCCTCTCCAAGTGCAGGGACACTTGGATCCTTCCTATGCACTCATTTTGAAGTTTAGTCCTCTCCACTCATAAGACATGCAGGGACACTTGGATCCTTCCTATGCACTCATTTCAGTTATTTGCCTGGCCCCGCTAGGCATATAGTTTGCAACTCTGATTTAGAGGATAATTGCCAAATGGTCTACTTTGCCTTGGTTCTTTAGCTAAAACCTTTCCATAGCCAGAGGCAGCAAATAAAGTTAATATTCTTAGAGCTACACCAACATGAATATTTATTTATAGGCCGCTTACTATTCCAGTTAACATTAAATGTTCAAAATTTCAAATAAAAAATTGTATTTTTCATGTTATTTTTAATTATGAAGATTCACTTTACCATTTAAATTACAACATTTTATACTTTTAACTTAGGTTTTCAATGGCAAGAATAGTTGTAAAAATTAAGAACCATCAGATTAAATAATAGAGGCAGCCACTTAGTCAAGAATCACTGAAATCAATCTTTCTTCTTCCTTAAAATAATTTCACTTAGTTAATGATAGTATCAGTTACTGGAGAGTGATTGGAAGATTGATGAAGCTAAAAAGGTAGAAGAGTCTGCCAATGCAATGTCTCAGGCTTCAGAGAGGATAGAGCATACCTTCTCCCAATGCCATTCTACCCCATGGACTCAAAATAGGGGGCTATGGAAGCATTCATGAACTCCAAAATTGAAGAGAAAGTAGTATCTTGGAGAAAAGCCAGGTTTCAGTTAAGGTAAGTTGTGTAGGACCCTCAGAAAAATATAGAGAGTATAAGTACTTTTCAGTAGTAAGGATTTTAGAGAGCACAGTGTAAGGGAGAGTTGAGAATTAGCAAGAGAAAAATGGGGCTGCTATTTCAGAAAGAGAGAGCTTGCTCAATAGCGGGTGGGAATTGGGAGGTAGGGAACAATTGCTCAACAGGTATAATGATGATACTTCTACAAGGAACTTGCCTTTTCTTGGTTCAGCCAAGGGCTGCAGCTCTGGCAGCCCTAACCTCCCCTCCTGAACTCCCCTCTCCTTACAGGACTTGTCATGATTTGCTTTTCTCGGGGAAATATTTTTAATGCAGTAGTAATAGGTAATTGCTTCTCCTGACCATGTAGATATAAAATTAGTATTTTAATCTCTGCTTATACCATTTAATAAACATAACATGATGGTTATGTTTAAGAATAAGGCCATTGCAAGCAGATTTTCTTTTGAGAAATTTAAAGTAACATGAAAAATTATTTTAAAGGACAATAAATGTCTTAAAACTGTTATCATTTTAGGAGCACGAAAACAGAATGAGGTTTTAAAATACTGTGAAGAGATGTACTTTAGGATTTCTAGGTTATGAAATTGTGATTTCTTGTCTTTTGTTTCTTTTTAGAAAGACAATAATGGTGAGAGCTCTGCACTATTATAACTCAGGCTCTTTCTACATTGGCAAAATGAATCCAGTTATCCTCAGAGCTTTCATACAGTAATGGCATGGGAGACCAAACAGTGCTGGGACACCCAAGAACTTGTTATTGCATGCGTTTCAGTGCACACGTGCGCATGCGTGTGTGTGTGTGTGTTTTCACAGAATATATCATCCTTTCACCAGCATAATAAAGCCATGTTGTCAAAACATGAGTCAGTAAAAACTAGAAATTCATGCTTTGAATCATTCTTTTACACTTTGCCAATTTTTTTCTTGTAAAATTCCATGCTGGAACTAAGTAACATAACCTCTCTTATTAATCCAAGCAACAAACTAAACAGAACTGCCTTTTCTCTATCAGATTGCTATCTTTCTGGTGCAAACTTCTTAAGGACTCATAATTATGAATATTTTGGACCAAGAGCTCTTTGCTACAAATAAAGTGGTTAGAAATCAAGAAAAATGCCAAAAAAAGGGGATTTAAAGAATGGATACACCAATAATAATGAAAATAATGTAAAGATCAACTGTAATTTATATAATCCACTTGTCGATAGTAGAAAGCTTTTACTCTTTCCGAAACTTCAGAAAATGTTACAGCATTTATATGAATAATGAGTAATTTGTTGAAGCTTATGAAAATTGTAACTTTTATAAATATCAGATAAACCAAAAAATAATTTCTATTTCCTCTTGCCAAAACTTTGCGAAAGTTTTTCCCAATCTTTTTCAGGAACTACTTTGATCTATACTTCTAAGAGATGAATTCATTAAATAAGTTAACAGTTTTTGCACATTTATAGGGTTTGTTGAATGATTATAAAATGAAAAATTGAAAGTATGTGTGTAGGAATGTATGTACATACAGGTCTTCATATATTAACACACACACATGCGTACCATTATTGGATGAGTATTTGCCATGAAGCATGAGTCCAGGCAGAGGGAATAAAAGCAGACTGTGACGGATGAGAAAAGTGCTTAGTAATTAAGGGCCTGGTTTCCTGGGACTCGGTTTTTGGAGAAGGTGGACGCTAATTCCCAAGAGAGTTGATAGGGTCTGATGGGGCGTCCAGGTGTAACCAGCTGGGGTGTTCATAGAAGAAGGGAATAAAGGAGCAGGGCCCTGAAAAGAAATGCACAGCATGTTCACGTGCCTTCCTGGGCCTGGAAACTCTTTTTCATTGTTCACAACCTACAAACTTTTCCTGGATCCAGGAAGATTTAGATTCAAAGAAAAAAAAAAACAGGTAATTAAAACAGCAATTATTAACTCTAGAAGTACAAAGAAGTTGTATGAGGAAGGAAAGGTAATCGTAGAGCATCATTTGGCTCAGTTGTGTACAATATTTACACAGTCACAATAAGGAAAACTATGAATTTTGAGGGAAAAAAATGAGAAATAATTGTCTAGAGAGGATGAAGTGGGGGAAGTAGTATATGTAAGTGAGCTAAGTCTTATCTACCATAATAGGAAGTCAGTAGATAACATCTAAGATTGACGAATCAACAGGTGTTGTTTAAAAGTAGGGAGAGAAAAACTGTTGAGTTGACATTATGATTAGAGGAATGGAAGATGACAAGGACTTCATTTTGTATAAAAATGTTGGCACTATTTGGCTTATATATGCATATAATATCATGATATGTTTTTTAAATGTCTTTTAAAAAAGAAGCCTTTCCCGAATCTCCCCACCCTCCTACCTTGAGCTCTCTCTGTACTAACTGTATGTAATAAATGCCAAATGTCTGTCTCCCTTCCAGATTTGAAGTTCTGGCATTCATTGCTATATCCCTTGAGCCAAGCCCGGTGTCAGACACTTGATAAGTTCTTAACACCTGTGGGAAAGAATGGATGAATGCAATTACTGATGGGACAAACCAGCCGAATGATTGGAATTGGGACATAATGTTAATTAAGTCTTTTAGGAATATGAACGATGTTTATAACAACAATAATATTGCTAATGTGATAATGTTAATAATTATTATTGGATAGCTAGAAACCCTAATACCTCTATCCTCTATAACCTGGATTATAACCCTATGACATGCCTACTGAATTTGTCCCTTACGTTCTACTTCCTTCTAACCAGATCCTCCTTACTTTATGCTTAACTGATTGACAGAGACTAACTGGTCTTTCTATGACTAATTTAGTCTCCACTATAACTTCAGCCTTTCCCCACAGACCACCTCTACCATCTCAAGACACTCTTGCATCAGGGTTAGTCCAGACTTCCCAATACTCTGTCACATTCTCCTTCAAGAACCACAGTGACACTTTACTGTCTGGAGTCCAAGGTTCTCTTCCCCATCTTTCAGCTCCTCCAGAACTTGGCCTCATTGGCCAACCTCATATTACTTCGCACAACTCCCAAGAGCTCATTATCCTACTTACTGGTCAAGCCATTCTCCTTATTACATCACACTCAATCCTACTTTCTACCTTTTATTACACTGAACTCCTTTTCCCAAAAAAGACCAGAGCATCCCTGTGGCCTGGGAATATAATTTTACCATTCAGATAGCTACAGAGAAAATAATCTTCACAAATTTAATCAATAATTTACTGCAATCTCTTTTACTTTTCTACTGTGGAAATAACTTCAGCTTTTCCTCCATATTAAAATCAACATTACTAACTAGAATTTGCCCTTAAAATGACATTTTATTTTATCAATGAATATAGCATTCAATTTTCATAGATTAATAAAATGGATCTTGTATAAACTGTGCTTCTAAACAAATAATGAAAGAACCTGATGTTTTAAAAGAAGCACAATTTTAAGTATTGCTTTTCTTTTGATTTCAAAAATTATTTTCCTTGCTTTTTTTCTGCAACCTTAAATATGTCTCAATTGCTTACTAAATGATTATTTTCTCCTTTTCTTTAACTCAGTCTGACCATTTAGAGAATTAATTTGATGAAGCATGGTGGTGTCTAATAGTTTAATGGGCAGAAATTAGTCCCTGCAAGAGTACTTTAAAAACTGGCAAATACCATGCATAATTACAGATTCTTTAGAAGAATCTATTTCTGTAAAATAGTTTAATTGGTTATAAGTAGCCAGCACTGGCCACAATTTAAACCCAGCTTCTAATTTCATCCATGCTTTTTTTTTCTTTAACAAATCTAAGTGTCTAATTGTGATAAAATTAGTCCCCTTGAAGGACCAATTGGCTACTTATCTCTGATTTTCAAGATTTAAGTGGTCTAGTGCACCTGCAATTAGCTTCACACTAGCATACTGCCTACATAATCTAGAGTTCTTTCCCAAAATTGTCAAAGCCTTGTCTCATGATGGGAACTCTGTAGTTAGATGACTAATGTATAGTTTAGATTATGGTGATTTCTTTGGAAGAACCAAGGTAATCCTTTAGAAAATTGAAGCCAAAACAGAGATAGACTTGCCTAAAAGGAAAAATTGATATGGGGTTGTTTGATCCAGATAATTGCCTCAACCTGCTGGACTTTGCACATACAGATGGCTTATTTATTTATGTAATTATAGAAAGTACTTATTCTTTCCTATTATTTATTTTAGTGGTGCAATCTATGCATTGACTTGGTGGCATTTACCAGTGAAATATTCAAGGGAGCAGTTTTCCAGTCATTGGATGGAATTATTGTCTCAGCTAACTGTAAACTACGGAAGATCTTCACTTTAAAATCTAAGCCTCAAGATACTGCAGATAAAGATGGTATGTTCAAGTTGCTATTAAGATTTTTTAATTCTCCAATATGTACGTTTTTAAAATTAGACATGCCTTTGGAGAATATGAACACATGGTTGTGGTTTTTTAAATTTTATTTTGTTATTCTTTTTTATTGTGAAAAGAATACTTAACATGAGATCTATTTTCTTAATAAATTTTTAAATATACAATATATAATGGTTGACTACAGGTACAATGTTGTACAGAAGATCTCTAGAGTTTATTCATCTTTCCTGAAACTTTATGCTCATTGATTAATAACCCTATTTCTCCTTTTCCCTAGCCCCTGGCAACTCTCTTGATTCCATGAATTTGACTATTTTAGTACCTCATATAAGTAGAATCGTATGGTATTTGTCTGTGTCATTCTTTACTTTGGATCCATGTTAATTTTACTGTAGCTGAATGTCATTAAGATTATATATATATAACATATGACATATTATATATATGATTATATATATAGTTACATTTTTTTATTGTTTATGGTAGCACTTACCATCTAAATTAGTCACGTTTTAGTTGTAAGCAACAGAATCTTCTCTAGGTGATTGAAAAAAAAGTATTTAAGGAATAGAATCTCATACAATCTCAAGGAGATCCAGAAAGTCAGGCTTGGAGCTACAGCCAAGAACAAACCCAGCCCCTACCACAAGACTGCTCCAAGGAAGACCCCAATATCTACTGTTACTGGGCAAAGACATCATAAGTCACACCATATGCTGGGCTCTTAGGTTCCAGAATTTCTATTACTACTCCTCCTGAAAATTGGATGTCTTCTTCCCTGCCACCCTTGCCAGAAGTAGATTTCTTGTTGTTTCTTTCTACTGAACAAAGACTGACATAACCGTGTGATATGTAGTGCTTAGGTCACATGCTGCAAGGAAGGATGGCAAAGCAAATGTCTGATTCCCAACTTGGGTGAGAGAACTCACGGTATAGCAAAGTCACTACATTAGGAAGGATGTTCAAAAGTTGTCAGACATCCAAAATGCTCTACAGTTGTCCACTTATTACTCTTTGTACATTTCATGAAGTCATTTGGGAGAAATAGTATTAATATATTAATTTTATAATGATCATTTTAAAATAGATGGTTGAGTTCTTATTATTTCTAGAGAGACTGGAAACACATACATTAATTCTTTATATGATTAATAAATATGCTCTCTAGGTAACTGAGCCTTCTAGAATTCATAAGGTAGCACAAATTCTCCTGCTAAGGTAGTCTTAAACAACTGAAAGTATTGGGAGAATATTGATGCTTCCTTTTGATTTTCCTCTGGGATTATTTTTAACAAAATCAATTCTTGTAGAAGCCCAGGAAATAGGGCTGCACGTAAGATGGCAAAAGTGATTTCTTAGAAGTTTGTATGTAGACTTTAGACTTATGCTCCATCTGAATGAGTGTCTATGATTCACTCTATAGAACAGGACACTATGCCTATAAATTTTATTTGATAATAAAACACAGCATGTTAATAGCTCCCCAATCATATCACAAGCCAGGAAGTACAGCCACTCATCCTATGTACCATTTAAAGGCTATACAAGAAAGTGAAAGATTTCATTTTTAAAAAAATAGCACCCAGCTAATAAGAAACCTCAAAACGTATAGAAATATGTGTACATTCTACATCAGATTGTAGGAGGTAAATCATAATCTCGTTAATATTTTTAAATAAATGTCAGGAAAAAAGCAAATCAGAAATTGGCAGAGTAAGTGCTTGTTTTTATCTCTGATCTTTCCTCAAGCCCCACTAAAATTATAATATAGAAATGAAAAAGATATGAACCCATCAGGATAAAGAGGAGACAACAACAGACAAAAGATGTTCGTAAATCTTATAAGATTGAGGAGTAACAGCTGACTTAGAAGAGTAGAGAAGGGTGAAACTTTGGGGTTTACAGAGAGGTTTGTCAGTGAGATTCATAATGTAGAACCTTAGAGAGGTTCAAAGTACTGCCAAAGGCAAGGTAAAAGGGGTATGACTAAAAACAGGGAAATTGGTTAAAATTCTGCATAGGTTGCTATAGGACCCCAGGTCACCTAACTCTATGTAACCAGGCAACAGGAGATTTATTCTCTGGAGAAACTGAACCAGTGAGCTTCTGAACCCAGGTATATCAGGTACGTGGTAGAGACACCAAAACTAATAGAAAGAAGGAAATTGATAAAGTAGGGAAAAGATATGTTTTCCTCAGAGTTAAGAAAAGATACTGTATCTATAAAATAAGAATTTGTTCCTGCTTCATTTCAATAAATATTTTATTGATATTTATTATAATTTTTTATGCACATATAGAAACATTTACAAATCATAAGTGTTCAGCTTGAGGAATTACCACAAAGTGATTATATTTCTGTAACCACCACCCAGATCAAGAAATAGAAATACAAGCATCCTAGAAACCCTGCTTATGTCCCTTCCCAGTCATTGCTCTCTACTTTTTCTGAGAGGTAACTCAATCCTGATTTCTAACACCACATATTAATTTCATCTATTTTTGAACTTTATATTAATGGAATCATTTAGTATACATTTTTTCACAAAACATTGTATTTGTGAGGTCCATTTATGCTGTTGCTGATTTTCAGTACTATATTGTATACCATTGTACGAATATATACCACAATGTATTCATCCATTTTACACTATTTTGAATATGCTGCTAGAATCATTCTGCATTTTTCTTAAAGAGCAATGTAGGTGTTTCTTTGAATATTTATCGAGGAGGTAAATGAAAACATACTTCAGCATTCTTAATTTCAGTTATTATGTTTTTTGATTCTAGAATTTTATTAGATTCTTCTTATAGTTTTCATTCCTTAGCTGAAGTTATTTATCTTGCTATCTGATTTCTCAAATATATTAATCAAAGTTATTTTAATGCCCAAGGCTCATAATTTCAATATCTGGCTTTCTTATGAATTTGTTTCTGTTGCCCATTTTTCTCTTGGTCTTGTTTCTTGGTATGCCTGGTAAGTTTTGAGTGAATGTTGGACATTTGAAATCAGAAGCTATAGAGATATTTTGAGACTCTCTACTATATTGTCCTCTAGAGATATAGAACCAAAAACATAAAATAAAAAAAGAAGCCCAAAAGACTAAAAATAAGATGGAAATATTAAAAATATTAGAAGTTTGTCCAATGTTTCTACCATCAGAGTAATAGGATTCCAAGTTGAGAGACTAGAGAAAACAGATGGATGAAATATAAAATTTCCCAAAATTGAAGGCCAGGTGTTTTCAGATTGATATAGCTCATCAAAAAATGACTCACTATTATTTGTGTAATTTCAGAACAGAAGGGAGAAAGAAAAGATCCTTTAAGCTTCCAGAATTTTTTTAATACAAGTTACATTCAAAATATTAGGAATAAGAATGATGTCTGACTTCATGCAGCAACATTAGATGGTAGAAGACCTTAAAACTATACCTTCAAAAGTCTAAGGAAAAAATATTTTCAATTTAGAATTGTACACACATCTAGTCTATCAATTAAATGAGTGCAGAATAAAGATATTTGCAGACTTACAAGATCTCGAGTTTTATTTATTTATATCTTTTCTCAGAAAAGATCTGGAAGATATTCTCCATAAAAATTCAGGAATATATCAAGAAAAAAAGGCATATATGGGACACAAGAAACAAAGCATTTCATCCAGGAGAAAAGCAAAGGGAATTTTCAGAATTGTGGTTAAAAGAACTCAAAAGATGATACTTGTGCAGCACATCTAGAGAACAATTGGTCCAGATTTTAGCAGAAAAATAGAGGCTTTCAGGAGGAAAGTCTCCAGGAAAAGAATGTATTTGATATGTTTGAATGTGGAAAATAAAATCAATTGTGATTTTATAGTGCTAATGGGGAGTTTGGGAAGAATTAATACTAAGAATATTGAAAACCCATGACATAACAAAGCAGTGATCAATTCCAAGGAAAACAAAAGGTTGTACAAAAAAAGAAATGTAATCATAGTATATCATGTGGCTCAGGTGTGCACAACTTTTTTTTAATAGACTTTGTTTTTTAGAGCAGTTCTAGATTCATAGGAAAATTCCCCAACTATGATCACCTATATTAGACTGATACATTTGTTACAGTTGATGAATGTACACTGATGCATCATTATCACCCAAAGCCCATAGTTTATATTAGGGTTCACTCTCAGTGTTTTATCTTCTTTAGGTTTGACAAATGAATGATTATATCCCCTATTATACTACCATACAGAATAGTTTCGCCACCCTAAAAGTCTTGTGTGTTCTGCCTATTCTTCTCTTACTCCCTCTTAATCCCTGGCAACCACTGATCTTTATACTGTCTCCATAGTTTTGCTTTTTTCAGAATGTCATGTTGTTGGAGTCGTAGCATGAAGCCTTCAGATTGACTTCTTTCACTTAGTAATATGCATTTGATTCCCACATGTCTTTTTATGGTTTAATAGCTCATTTTATTTTAGAACTGAATAATATTCCATTGTCTGGATGTACCACAATTTATCCATTCATCTACTGAAGGATGTATTGGTTGCTTCCAAATTTTGGCAATTATGAATGAAGCCGCTGTAAACATTCTTGTATGGGTTTTTGTGTGGACATAAAATTTTAACTCCTTTGGGTAAATTATCAGTGAGCGTGATCACTGTATTATATGGTAAGACTATATTTAGTTCTGTAAGAAACTGCCAAACGGTCTTCCAAAGTGGCTGGATTTTTCCTTCCTACCAGCAATTAATGATAGTTCCTTTTGCTCAACATCCTTGTCTGTATTTAGTCTTGTCAGTGTTTCAGATTTTTGCCATTCTAATAGGTGTATAGTGGCACAACTTTTTTACATAATGCTAATTATGCAAAACACTGACTAATAATTTACCCCCAAATTATGAGAAATCATATTTGGAGGATATGGGGAGGGAAAGAAGGTAGGGTGGTGGTGCCGAATCCTCTTTTTCCCAAAATAGGAAGTCAGAGATATTATCT